CCCCTACTCCCATGCAGATCCCCAGTCTCCCACAAAACATCTTTTTTTTTTAAATTATTTTATGTGTAACTGATGTTTGCCTGCGTGTGTTTATGTGCTCTAGGGTGTGCAGGTGTGCATGAGGACCATGGAGATTGTGACAGACCCTGGACCTGGAGTTACAGATGGGTCTGAGCCACCATGTGGGTGCTGGGAACTGAACCAGGGTCCTCTGCAAGAGCAACAGGTGCCTCTTAACCACTGAGCCACCTCTGCAGCTCCAGAAAACACCTCAAGTACTGACAGGAGCTAACCCAAACCATTAGCAGAAAAACCATGCAATTCCAGCTGAGAAACCATTAACTACTCTTTCCTCCAGAATGTGTCCTATTCTGTTTCTCTTGTAGTTTTTGTTTCTGTCTTGTTATTGTTGCTTTGTTTTTTTGAGACAGAGTTTCTCTATATAACAGTCCTGGCTGTCCTGGAACTCCTAGACCAGGCTGGCCTCCAACTCAGAGATTCCCTGCCTCTGTCTTCTGAGTGCTGGAATTAAAGGTGTGCTCCACATTGCCTGTCATAACTTTTTTTTTTTTAATTTTTTACACATGAGTGTTCTATCTAAAGGGCACCAGATCTCATTGTAGATGGCTGTGAGCCACCACGTGGGTGCTGGGAATTGAACTCAGGACCTCTGGGAGAGCAGCCAGTGCTCTTAGCCTCTGAGCCATCTCTCCAGCCCTTGTTGACAGTATATGACTATACAGCTGAAAGCATTAGCCTCCTTATGCTTGTTCTGCAGCCCAGGCTGGCCTCGAACTCATTATCTGTAGCTGAGACCAACACTGAACTTATGTTTCTTCTGTGCCTCCCTCCTGAGTTATGGCTGCAGGCAGGCATGTACGCCGTGTCCAGTCTCCTGTGGTACTGGGGCCAAGCGTGGACAAAGCTTCTCCTACCTGAGCTGGACGCCCTGCCCCGATCGTCCCCTTCTCTTCATCAGTACCACAGAGCACACAAGCTCGAGCGGCTCACCTAGAAAGTACCAGGCCAGAAACCGTAGGGAAATCATCCGTTTTCGGGGCATGTGGAACAGGTAGACTGTGTCGAGAACTTGGTCCTTGGGCACCTGGCAGGGATCAAAAGAGCAAAACACTCAAGATAGATGATGACCCATAATCTCCATTCTCTTAAGACAAAATATATACACTGAGAAACCCACTCTCAAAGTAACTCCTAGGCCAGCAAGATGGCTCAGCAGGAAAAGGCATTGTCACCACGCCTGACAACCGGGGTTCAGTCCCCAGGACCAACATGACGGAGAGAGACCCCACTTCCACAAGTTGTCCTCTCACCTCTAAACATGCAACACGGTACCTCAGGTGTGCATGAGTACACGCACACTAAATAAATGTAATTTTGGTAGTAGGAACAGGCTGGGTGGAAAGAAGTCTGTATATTAAAGAAGAAAAAAATGCCAGGCATGGTGGCTCACGCCTTTAATCCTAACACTCAGGAGAAGGCAGGTGGGTCTCTGAGTTCAAAGCCAGCCTGCTCAACATAAGTAGTTACAGGGCAGCCACAGCTACACACTGAGACCCTGTGTCAAAACAAACAAAAGACAAAACAAACAACAACAACAACAACAACACTCCTAAATAAACCCCATCCGAACCATGAGGTTGATGACCCGGAAGTCCTTCTGCAGACCGTGACCCACAAACTTCACTCCAATGTCAATGAGAAAACGAAGCTTTAAGTAGGTAGACTTGAGAGTTGTGAGGTGCTTGGAGGAAATTTTGGCATCAAGGTCTCCTGGCTTTATCCCCGAGTACTGAGTCAAGTAATCTACTACCTAGGGACAGAGAGAAAGACAAATGACTAGGGCATGAGAAGGTCGGTCTCTTCTTGCCACTCTCCCCAGGGTTCTCAGACAGTCTATGCAAGCACAGACTTGGCTCCGGTGGCCCCTTCATACCTGCTCCTGAGTAGAGATGTAGTCATCAATGAAGGGGATACCCTCATTAGGCCCTTGGCCCCGAACACAGGTGATCCTTGCTACTGACATCTGGCTTGGTTTAATGGTGGACTTGGTACCATCACTGCGTAACTCTGCTTCTTCCTACGTCACAAGAGTCGGTATGGACACCAGAGAACACTCAGAATTCCCCATCTCCTCAGGGTTCTGTCCCTCGGCCCCGTCCTTTTGGCTGTGGTACCTCATTCAGAGTGACAAACTCGGCATCGAGGCCCACCAGGTCCCCGACCTGTGGCATCTCATTCAACATCAGGGGGATGAAGGTAGTGTGTGTTTTCCGCTGCTTCCGGGCCAGTGAGGCTTCTGCCAGCAGCACATTGGCCTCAATCGGGTTCTTGACTGAAAGGAGAATGCAGAGAAGACCAGGCTGGGGAAAGGACTGGGGGAGACCCCACCACGGCTGCCCACAGGCCATCGGTCCATGTTGTGATCTCTTGATAACCAAAGAAACTGGGTAAAAGGAGCGTATCTGGGCTGGCAAGATGGCTCAGCAGGTAAACACACCCACTGCCAAGTCTAACCACCCGAGGTTGATCCCCAGAATCCACATGGAGAAAGGAAAGGACAACTCTCCCAAACTCCTCTGATGTCCCCCCCTTCATGCTGTGTGTTATACATACTGATGCACGCGCGCGCACACACACACAGTAAATTAAAATGTAAGAAAAAAATTTCAAGAGACTATACCATTGTCTGCTATAATACAGCAGATCAAATCAGAAAATTACCAAGTAGGCCAAGAAAGATAGAAATGGGGGAAAAGAGGGAGTAAGATTTTTACTTTGGACCTTAGCTTACAAAATCCAGAAAAACAAAGCTACAGAGAAACTACTGTTTAGAGGTACTGAACTGGTACTTCTGAGGGAGCGCGACCCGCTAAGAGGAGAGACCGCTGAGGATAACAGCTGGCATGGGGCCGGCTGGCAAGAGCAGTGGGTAGAGCACTCCCTTCGCAAGCCTGACAACCTGAGTTTGGTGTCTGGAATCCACATAAACCTGGAAGGGGAGAACTGAGGCCTCCAAGTTGTCCCTTGGCCTCTACACACCCAGTAACAATAGATAAACACTGTAATGAATGGCATTTGAGAAGGATATTCCGTGGGGGCCATTCTCATTCAAACTACCCCAAAAGGGACAAGGACGTTTAGAATCAAAATCATAACCTAAGCCGTTTTTATAAAGCTTCCTCC